CCCTTCTCCCTATGCTTCTTGAAATCCTTTTTGGCTGATATTTAGCGACATTTATATTTAATTGTTGACTATTTTGTAACTTTTCTGACCTATTTTGCGACATTTCTATGCTTTTTGCTATATTTACGGCACTTTCTATTTCCAACTTGTCCTTTTGTAACAAATGTTCTTGGATTTTACGGCTTCTTATTCCAATAACAAACATGTCTTTTATTAGAGAATTTTGGAGACTTTTGAACTCGCATGAATGACTTAGGTTGGTCAGACTTGTGACATATTCATCGATTGTTTCACCTTCCTTTTGTGTTCTTGTGAAAAAATTAAATCTTTCGACGGTCACGTTTTTGCATGGATTAAATTTTGCGTCGAATTTGTCAAACACGTGTTTTAAGGTTAATGAAGAATCTGCTCTGTTAATATTGAATGAATTAAATACCTTTAATCCTTCGTCGCCGATTGCGTTTAAAAGGATTGCGACTTGTTTGGTTGGTGATCGGTTGTCAAGCTCGTTTGCTTCCATAAAAATTTCGAATTTTTGCTTCCATGTCCGCCATCTTTCACATATTTGTCCGTCGACAATGAGAGGTCGTAGCGTGTTTGAAATTATTATGTTAGACTGATCTGCCATATTATTTTTTCTTGTATTTGTATTAATTTTTCACTTCTGACACCATGTTTTATTGTAAATGAGTAAAGAAGACTTGTTTAGTTGTATAAACTTTATTTGATCACTTACATGATATGCACGTTGGGCGTTGACAAGAATAAGAAGGAAGTAATATCTATGAACGACCCAATATATAGTAATAATCATAGACAATAATGTTACAGTTTCAAAGTTTACATTTGTCTCGGCCAAGTAAATTAGCTAAACATTATGAGTGAATATCAAACTCGCAAGACCCAAGTTGCTACTTCTTCGAGGAGCTTAAGTATAATCAAAATGAAAGCTTGCATTTCAAGTTTAATTCAACGCTAGCTCTGTATTCTTATGAAATAGAATAATTCGCACTGGGTTTGATGTTGTTGAATTCTCAACTTTTCACTTTTAAACTTACTTCTGTGTTGGCTTTTCAACTCGAGACTTAATCGCAACAACGACTGAATAATATACGAGAAATGTTTCTTGAATTGTGAGAATTGTATTCAACCTTCAAAAGTCTTACAAATACTACTTATATTAATGAGTAACAAGCAAAATTAATAAAGTTTTATAAAACGGATGAGATTACTTAGCCATGTCATTTTAATATCACGGGCAAATTTTTTATTCGCGATGAAAACGTCGGCAAGATTTATTCTCTATTGGTATAATTCAGGGCGAGCTAATTATTCGACGGCAGCGGGAAGATTGATAGTGTTGTAATAAAGCTAAACAATCTCAGCCCGAACCGTCCCTAAGGACTGAGAATAGCGAGGCACTTATAGAATGGCGGTTCCTTCCTTTCCTTTAATAAATGTCGTAGTTGCGATGTTATGATTTCTTGCTGTGATTCATTAAATGAGTGCATATTCTACTCAATGGATTTAAGATAATAATACTTATACATGATAACAACAGTAAAATTTATAACAAAATGTGTAGGGTAAAACATTTGTAAACAAGACAGCGACTAGGGTGATTATATACATAGATAATCAATTGGTCAAAATTCACTTATTTGCTACTAGAAATTATCTCTTGAAATCAAGTCGAAATAATTTTGGTCAAATTTAGATCAACTTCTTTTAATTATGGTGTCAGTTGGAGTAGCGTTAATTAAATAAAACAGGATTAAAATTTTACTATATTTTTAACGTGAAGTATGCTCTATTCCAATAAATTATAAGAATGATTACCAAGAAGAAAATACCAGTAATACTATTCTGTTGAATTAGATATAATTTTAAATGAGAGAAATATTCATTCCACATAGAAATATTCGAAGAACAAAATATAAATTCAAGACCGCCGTCCAATATTGGCTTTGCTTTGTCAAGTTTATGAATTGAGCGTTTCCGCTTCAATGATTCTATTCATAATGTGACGTTAAACAAGGAAAGACCCGTAATACAAACGCATAAGCTTACGTTCACGTGAAAGGGCTTTAATGAGAGGAATATCTCGACTATGCGACGCCGCGTTACCGTATTCGGCGATTTTGTAATTCGAATTAAAACTTTGCCACTCTTCGTTATCTACGCTAATAGCGGGGACAACATTGGCCGTAAAGCCGTATCTTTACGCCGCCTTACAATAACGCGTAACTGAGAACAATTACAATCCTGTAGGGAGCAGTCGGTATTCGTTTTAACGCGAATCGCTATTAGTGTACAATTAGGTTTTGGCAACCCTATCTACGCAGAAGGTAATTTTACAGATTAGCCCCTAGTGTTATAGATGCGTATTACAAAACATATTTTACTTTGCCTGTAACACTTATTGCTATTAATTGTCGAAAGTTTGCTGACATTTTGTCTGTTTTTAGGGTTCCGTAACCAAACGGGACCCTATTACTAAGACTCCGCTGTTTGTCTGTCCGTCTATCTGTCTGTCTGTCCGTCTGTTACCAGGCTGTACCTTATGAACCGTGAAAATTAGACAGTTCAAATTTTCAAGCATGATGTATTTGCCTTATGGCATTAAGCCCGCCGTTTGTACCAGTTAGTACAAAAAAGTGTGTAAATAAATAAATAAATATTTCGGTTACCGCTATAACAAGAATACTAAAAAACAGAATATAAAAATATTTACGTGGGGCTCCCATACAACCGATATGAGTTTTTTTGCCGCTCTTTTAGATAATAGTACGGAACCCCTCGTGCGTGATTCCGACTCGCACTTACATTTTTTCTATAAACTAAGTTGTTTACCATTGAACACGCTTACGCCACACCGTAACGACAGCGCGGCACGGCATGCGTCCTTCTATCAGAAATCGTCCCGGAAAGACGATACATTTCGCAGAAATTTCATTCGAAACACTGGCAACGAATAAAAAGGGGAAGTCCCGCCTGTTGCGAAAGACTGCCCCGCTGATAAACGAGCCCCGCAGATTCAATTGGCTCCGAGTGAATCCTTTTTGTGTATGGAGTATGGACCCAAACGGATTCATATCGTACGAAGTTTTTACTGTCGTACATTGAATTTGCTTATATTGCACGAAGCTATTGGGTCTATGCTGTAACTCTTGTATTCTTGTATTAACTGATGTTTTTGCTTTTAGTCCCGAGACTATTAAAGCTTCACCTGACGCAGAACCGGTGGGCTAGCCAGAACCCACGGGTTTGGGCCCTCCGCTGTGGGTAGGGCCTGTTGTAACTAGATTCCTTATGAACTGATTTCTTACATATTGTTGTTTGCTATTTGGAATTGAAAAATAGCCATGTAAATTTTTGGCGTGTGTTTATGTATTTCCCTGTGCTAAAGTTTCTTAAAAAGTATACCCACTTAGCGGCCTCGGCGTAATACTTGAGAGAACAGCTTAACACATGAGCATCTCTTGGAAATGAGCGCCCCGGCCAGACGCGCCGAGCTTAAGTTTTCACTACGCTTCATGTTATTTTTTTCATGGTTTTTACATAATATATGGAGGGTGTGCTCTTAAAATTTTCATTTCGGAGTACTTCCAGAGTCGGGTAAAAACTTATTTTTAATAAGGTGAAGATATCGATCGCTGGGCTCATAGTCACTATATGTATCGTTTATATAATAAGTACGTAGTACTATTTAGTGCATTCTGCAACTGTTCTGTTCGCTTCCATTAGCGCAACAACCAATTAAACAAGTAATCGTCAAAATTAACATTTAATCTCGTTCATTATACTTTCGCTCAACTACGTGAAGCGCGGTTTGTTGGCGAATATTCCGAGAAAGATTCGTGCGTCGTATAATGAATAGTAACGAAAGTCGACTTACAGTGATTCAACGTCCTCCGCTCTCGGCAGCTTTGCAGAAGTAATAAACGTTTTGTATCTTTTTATTTAACGGAGATTTTTTTCAACTTTTATTCTTTTCTTACAAAGCGTACCTGAAATTTTGTTCGGACGTTGTAACGACTCTTATTTTTCCTGACCACGTTCAGCGTTCTTAGTCGAACTGCGTGCAGTGAAAGTATTTATTATTTTTGCGTTTGCGTTCGTTGAGTGAGGTAACCGGGGGAACAACGTTTCGGACACGTTACAGCATCCATTGATGTAACGTGCAAAGAACAAACTTCGGGAATTAAAGTTTAAAATGAAAACTAAACGATATTAGTAGTAGACACTGTTGTACAAAAGCCTATCGCCGTATACTGAATATAAGTACACTGAATAGTATACTATATTCATACTATATAGTATACTGAATATAGTATAATATATGCGTGAGAGTCTCCGTCACGGTCCATACAGAACATCGATCTGGCTTGGCGACAACTCTTACTCTCTAATTGGATAACGCAACCATGAGCACTTGCCCGGCCGTACTAAATTCGTGTGATTAACCCACAGATTCTGAGTGTGACGAAGCGTTTATAGTTTACGAACTGAAAGCGAAAACATTACTTAGAGTAATAGTACCTTTATTTCAGGACGGTCTTCGTTGAGTCGCCCTCGAATCGTCCTAATCGCGTTGTTGCTGTTACAACGTTACACAGTCCTAAACGACTAAGCGCGAAGTAAGTTCGAGAGGCTTCGCAATTAATATAAGTTAATTAAAAAGTAAAGTAAAAAAGGAATATATATAAAGTAAATTAAAAATGAACGAAAATGAAGAATATTTGATAACTCCGTGGCTCAGTTGCCAAGGTATATACAGCGTGTCGTTACAACCGCGACAATAAATGAACACACAAGATATAAAGGACAACTTTTTAAAATTGTATTTGTTCATTCCGAATCCAGCCTCTCGCTGGGCCTAGAAATCTACACGAGAGGCCTAACGAACACATGCTGCGATCGCGCGGCGCCGTAATTTATTTATATTTAATATTGTAATATAATCGCTCTCCTGGTACTCCGATGTCCCCGTCGTATCAGCCGTTCAGGAGGGGAGGTTTCTGGGTGAGGATTTGGCAGGGAAAGTAAGGAATGCTGATGTACGGCGTGGCAGCGCGGCGGACACACCTTACTGTTCCTTCGACCTTACTGTCGAACAATATTGTACGTTGCCGATTTCCGAATATAATGTTAATACTCCGTTTCCGTCATATTTTCCGTTCATAAAACTCCCGAGCGTTAAGGTCCGTGGACAACTAACGCGAGAGAGGCAACGTATCCGGTGTTGCCGTCGTAAAACAAAAAACGCGGAACCACAGATTGGTTTCGTACAGTATTAAATATTTACATTCTTTAAACATCAATAGTTTAATGGGTTGAATAAATTTAAAAGAGATAAAACATACTGTTAGAAGGAGATATTTGTAATGCGACACTATGGCAACGAATGAAAAAAAGTCTCTGAATGTATGAATCAGTCAGTTGTAGTTGTATAGGATTTGTTTATTTTTTATTTAATTTGTTCGTTTGAAAAATATTTTTTTTAATTATGGATTTCTTTTAAAGTTTATTTTTTTTATGATTATTGGCAAGTAGCGTTGGACGTGTGTTCATTTATTGTCGCGGTTGTAACGACACGCTGTATATAGACTTCGGCGTCGCGGGTTCGATTCTCACACGGGACAATTATTTGTGTGACCAAAAAAAAAAAGAATGCGTGGGTATGATTTGTCACGTGCAGTTGTACAGCGCGAGCTTACCCTCGCCAAAGCGGTGGACAGATATCGGTGGAACCTTTAATACCGCCACCAAAGTCCGCGAAGTTTATATTGCGAATTCCACCAACGCGGCAACTACGTCGGTGGGGCGACGTGCAATCCACTTAATTGGGTGCATCTGTCACTTAAGTTACGGCTTAGTGTTAGATGTAATACATGGTGGTCAAGTTTTGCTCCCGATTAAATTTTTGCCCGCCTGTCGTGTTTGTGCAGAGGTACTGTTGGACTTTGTCGTCGTATTGTTATATGAAAAACACGTTGGCAATAACTTCGATTTGTATCGTTTATCCTATTCCTATTAAGTGATCTTTTCCTAGGAATACGTTGTGAACTTTTGAAAGCGCAGTTGTTGTATTTGTTTTAACTACCCTAAAGTTACCACGGCTTCGCAAATTTAAAAGATTTTAAAGTTGCGGCTTTCATGAAACTCTAATAAAAGACAAATTCTATCACGGATTAAAACATTTAGACCCGTTTCGAATGAATACAAATTTCGCCAAAGTCTATGAATACTATTGCTGCTTCGAGAATCTTCGGTCCCTAATTCGAATATGGCGTCTGTGAGTTACTCAAAACGGCATTTAATCGCGCTGACAGCGTACTCAGCACCGAAATTGGGAGCCCTAAAAATCATGGTCCCGGCAATCGAAACGGCTTGGATGCGGACGGCCGCGCTTGGCCCCGCTCCAAACGGCTTATTTGCTCGCGTCTTTGGTATGCTTGAATTTTCCATGTATTTTTCGGCGAACGTAGTTTGTTAAATAATATTAAATAACTAGTTTATCCGTCCTAAATTATCCGTACCTTGATTTTTCAGTCTACTTCGCTATCTACCTGCCTCTTGCGCCAGAGGGCGTGGCTCTGATCCCAACTATTGGAAGAATATTGTGCGATTAATATGGCGTTTTCCCAGTTCTGGGTGTTTAAATATTTATAATATGTACTTATTTACAAAAAATGTTTATCAGTTATCCACTACCCATAGTACAAGCGTTGCTTATGTTTATTTATTTATTTATTCCATTTAAACAAATTATCACTGGTTGACAAATCATAATCATAAGGTTTTATAAGAAATTAATAATTGAAAGTATTTTATGAAGTAATTAACTTTATTCTACTTCTCTATTTTGCTTCCATAGCAGTAACCGTACTCTTTAAAATGGTGTTTGGGTTATCAAATTTAATGAAAAATTATGGAAATTATGGATTTATTGACAAAGAACTTTTCATAGAACATATAAATCATAGGCTCCTTTTATAGAGGCTTGACAGATGTAAAGTCATTGTTTATGTTCATCGCTGGTCATATTTATTGCTTTAATCCTAAAAGTGAACTAAAGTATGCAAGGATTCATTTTAAACGCTTATGTTTAGCATAGGCCGGTACCACACCTGATATCGTATACCTGATTTTCCTTACTGAAAAAGCATATTATTATGTAATTTGTGTACGTTATCTCTGAGACTATTTTTTGTTCACATCTCACATGGCCAAAGTTGAATTAGAGTAATACTAATCATTTAAAAAAAATGCCGTGACAATTTTTCACGGAATTAATGAGCAAAAAAAAGCAGTGCCGTTCAAAACTGAAGAGTATCCGATAACCTTCTACATTACCAATGCTTCGTTAATTCTTAATAAGCAAACATTAGCCTTAAGGGAAAATTTTCAGTGACCGTTCGCGTATCACTCCGTTCGCTGCGGGTCGGTTGTATTTAATGAAAAAAGAAAATACAACTAGATTAAATACCGCCTAGGTTTTATATCCTACCACTGTAATAAAAGAAGCAATATAAAACGTAGAAGCGAACTGGTACTCGTGCATTACGAGCAAGTATAAAAGGTTCTAGTGCTCAAGTGATGTGGGCGCATCTTCGTACTACGCAATCGTACTATATTTTCTGAATGCCCTCTCTTATCGGTTTATTTTTCATGAGAGACGTTTAATATGTAAATATATAAGATATTTTCTGTACTCTTTACGGTGGTAGGCAGTAGAGGCTCGTCCGGGTAAGTACCACGACCCCATAGAAGACCGGCGTAAAGTTGAAGTATAATACTTTCGCGTTTCGTTTGGTGAGTGAGGTAGCCGGAGCCCAATTTTCAAAAGGTTGTCAACGCATCTGCAACCCTCGGGCTAGCCCATGACTGTGGTATGCCTGGCATGGGTGTGTGTCCATGGACGGTGGTATTCACTTAACATCAGGTGAACCGCCTGCTTGCTTGGCAACATTTCACATAAAAAATCATATTTGAATATTAATATACATATACTAGGTTGTCCTGTACACACGAGTAAAATTCGACATCTAAGAAATAAAAAAAATTATAGTGGACCGAATTGTGAATCTTAACCATTCTCGAATCAACCTGAACTTACATGTTTACCTCTCTTTTTTATTAATAATATAATTAACATAATAACGTTAGTACAGGTTAAGTTATAATGTAAAGTATGTTTGATTAAGTAAAGTCAAAGCTACAAGTATTAGATAGCTTTAAATAAAGCTTTTAATAAGATCCAACAGAAAAGTCATCTCCCCGCGGCACGTGCGGTAGCAAACGAATTTATGTAGCCAGCGACGGTTACTTTTCCTGAAACAAATCACACTTTTTCGTTCGCACAGCTGAAAAATGTGTTCTACAACCACAAAAAGGGATCCAACGGCACTGATCGATCTTGTACTGCTATATTGGCTTTTTGATACGACCCAAAGAAATCGCTTAGCCTAACAGCTGCTTTCCCTGTCAAATTACTGATGTCATCTACATTTACACTATAGTTAATAACTGATATAGTTTTAATCGGGTCTATGACTCGCGCTATAGTTATCGTCATGTGACATTTCAATAAAATTTACGAAAAGAAAAGGGACGCTTCATCACATTTTCTTAACCATTGTTTGACAGGAATTATGTTAGTAATTAATTATTACAGTATTAGTTGTTTAATGTGCTACCTCATCTTATTTAGTATGCTTTTGCAGTTTCGCAACACAAATATTAATGCAAGGCTTAAAGTTAACCCACCCAAACGTGGAGCGAATGTAATACATACACTGCGATTCTCGGCCGCCCGCTCGGCAGGATTTTTAAAGCGTTTCAAAGCGCGTCGGGTGTTCATTAAAAATATGCTAATTAGGAAATGTTTCGCGGGCGGCCGGAGCGCTTGAAAATACCGGGTGGTATGCTATTCGATTCTCGCCGGAGTGGTTGGCCGATTGGGGCACGAGTTAATTCGCCTTGCGTACGTGCGTGGGGGGTTCGATGAATCACGTCGCTCTCAATTTGTCGCCGTCGGCGCAAATTACTCGCTATCAATCTTCGCAAGTGAGCCGGTAATGCGACGCGGGGCGTTGTAGTGACGTCCCTCGTTCCATAATCGGCGCTCCGTGATCGGTTTCGGCGTCGCCCGGGCCTGCTTTGAGAATCTGCTAAGTAATGGCGATGTTCGCGGTATCTGGACGCCCAATAAAGACATGCATCTAACTCATAGATAGCCCGCTTTGTAGAGAAACAATTCTGTGGATGCAGTTAACTAATTGTTATCTGTTATCCTATTGTTTTTTTTTTTATTAAAATATCTTCCTTAACGAAAGTGGGCCGAAGTTAAGGATAGCGTATTTCAAATGATTTTCAGATCCTCTCTTCCTGGTCAATTCTGCGGACTGACGGACTGCAGATTAAAAAAAAGTGTTACATACGAAGATGTACACTTCTAATATGTATTTACAATTCGATCACAATATTTCAGCTACTTCATATGAACTCAGCGAAATACCAACTGTATATAAATGCGACGTCGCCCGCGCAACGTCCTCATCGACCGGGTAGAGGGAGGGGAAATAATGTGTACTTCGGACTCACCGGGGCTCCCGTTAGAGAGCACCCATAATATTGGTGCTAACATACGTAACCAATTAGTTTGTACTCACGAGCACAGCGAAACCAACACAACGCGTTCACAAAGTACATTCGCGTTCTAGAGCGGTTCTCACCGCCCCCAATCAACGATTAATACAGTCCACATCGAACCTCGGTGGCTCATAGGTGATGTATCATATCCTCCTATAAATAACCCACTCATGAGCACGCGACCCTAACCATCGCAGAGCGCCGTATCTAGTTCGTGGAATCTGTTCCCTAACTAGTTCTGCATTCCATGAAGCTTTAATAGTCTACGGACTGAAAACAAGAACACCAGCCAAAGTACAGTTCAACTATCTCACGTCAAGTCTCAAGTTTTGAAATACAAAGTCTTCAAAAGCTAACAGCATTCGGTCTTGAAACGCGAATGACTCTTTTATTCTATGTGTACTGAATTGTTTTACAAGAAATATAAAACAAAGTGCCTGTAGCTATTACTC